GAGAGAGAGAGAGAAGATGCTCTCGAAAAAGTGCGGCAACAAAGTTGCGCGGTGCGCACACCCACGTCCGCGAGATCCAGAATGTCAGGGTCGTACTTTAACCTCGCGCTGTCCTTCGTTGCCTTCATGTACCCTCCTCCTCCCTCCCCTCTTTTTTGTCGCCGGCTTATATTTCCACCGGACGCAGTTTGCCGATTTTTTTAATTGCTACCTTTCCATCCTTCTCTGTCCCTCACTCACGAGATCACCGTTAAGCACGACACACTGTTAACCACCTCGCGAATTAAGGCACGGTCACTTAAAAGCAAACCTGTAAACCGACGCCCACGCGGCCGGGTACCTGTTATATATGCACTTACGTGCGCCCAGGAGCGGATCGAAGAACAGATCGAAGATCCGGTATTTATCGTGGCTGCGATTTTCGCCGAAATAATATCGGGACGCTTTAATCGCACGCTTACGTGACCGCGCTCACTTATGACGCGAGATACGTGCGTCATCGTCAAAAACTCTCGATATCGAAATTCCAAAGTGAAAGAGAAATGTAATTCTAGGAATGGCTTAATCATCTGCTCGTAAAACTCGATCTTGCGCATAAGAGAAAATAGATATTTCTAAGAAAATGTATCACGTTATCGTTAAACAAAATATTGTTTTTAATTTGATACGTGAACTATGTCGCAACATAGAATTATATTCTTTTGCGAGAAAGAGACGTCAAGAACTTCGTAATTTTCATCTTTTATTCCGGTAGTGTTCTGTTGCTGGAAATACATCAATTATATTTTCAATCTCTATGAAGGATTATCTCGCAGCGACAAGCTTTCGCATTGTTGTTGCGAAACGATACGGCCCTGCGGACGCGCAAGTACAGGGTGGCCAGACAGAAAAATCCGAAAGGCTCTCCTCCACCGATGAGTGCCACGAATAAGGGCCACATAAAGACGGGTCATAAAACTATGATTTACGTCTTGTCATTGATGCGTTTGCTGTCCGTTCGTCCGTTCATCCGTCGGTCAGTCCACCCATGCTCGTCCATTCGTCCATCGTGCATTCGTCCATACGCACCCATGAGTCTCTTTCTCCCTTGGTTCATCACATCTCCTCTCTCTCTTCGTTCCCTCTTATTATCTTTCTTATAGTCCCCCTTTTTGTTCTTCTTCTACTTCTTCTTTCGCATCGTCCACCTCTTCTCTACCGGTTTCGCCAGGTAGCCCCATCGGGCCGACGATGATCGATTCGTCACTTGGAAAAAGTAGCGTGTCGTTATCATTGCAATTATTATAATCCACTGTGAAATATCGCGTGCGAAAGCTGCGCGGTGAGCCAAACGACGAAAGCGAAAATTCATTGCGCGCTGCATCTTGTCCGTTCCCGTCACATTCCAGTTTCACTCGATAATTAAACATCATTTATATTTTAACGGTTTTATTCTGTGCTTGTACTACTACTACGCAGTCGTGTCGAGTGAAATTATATATACGTTTTTTATTTGTCATGGAACAATATTACAGAAATATGTATGTGTAGTATAAAGTACTTTGAATATAATAACTAAAATACCTTATTTTATTATGATATTAAAAATTCTTGAACATTTTAGGGAAGTTAGACATATTCCGTCGTTATAAAAATATTTACGTTTCGAACGCATTTCCGAATTTATAACTTTACAGTTAATTTTGCTTTAGCTCGCTGCGGAAGATGCGACCTTGTAGCCCTCGCGCGGCTCTTCGGGTTTCTTCGCGCATTGTCCTCGAAACATAAGTTATATATACACATGTACAGTGTGGTCAGTGGGTTATTTAAAATTTTAACGCAGTCTTCCAAGACTGTCGGACTCCCCCGACAAGACGGTTACGTTTAATGGCGTCTGCGGTTTGCCATCAAACTTCTCAACGCTCATAGCACCTGACATCTCACACTTATACCCCCAGGATTCCGTCGTTTCTCATTTGTTTTGTGGAATCCTTTTACCCTGATTTCCTTTCCGCTCATACGTAAAGCAACACTTCTGGAACAATCATCGTCCCTCTAAAAAATCTCTAGAATCATTTTCTCGCATTATTATTTTTCGCATAAGCCATTTTGTTTTTTAATAAATAAAAGCATAATATTTGTATATGCAAAATAACAAAGAAAATACTCAGCCGGAAGATTGCAAAATTTTCAAAATTTTTTGAATAAAATATAATTAATTAAAACTGAGAAGGGAATAAATAACAAAATTTTGGTTTTGTAAATTAATCTTAATAATTTGATCTGTAATATCGCTCGAATCGCGAGAGATTAACCTTTTATAAAATAAAATGAAATAAAACTAACTTTAAATTTACCGAGGAGAATGAAGAAATAAAGCGATTTCTCGGACACCCAGTGTACGTTAGCGCATCATAAAGTTCCCATGTTACTCCATTACCGAAGATGACGCAAGTACCGCGTCTTAATCGCGGGATTACACGGTTTACAGTGTAAGAGCTCCGCGCGGGACAACGCGAACTCGAATTGCGAAATAAAAGTCGGCTGCGGCGGCGGCGGCGGCGGCGGCGGCGGCGACTCTCGTCGCGTTGAAAACTTTCGAGTGAAAGCGATCGCGCGCGCGGCTTGTTAAGACGTCAGTTATCGTCGGCCGTCGGTGATTAATCCGACAGGTTGGAGGCGGAATTATAAAACGGCGAAACGCGTTATCGCGCGCGCGAGAGTGGCGGCGGCGGCCGTGCGCGTAAATGCGAGGTAAAGCGCGAGATAAAGACGAGTACGCTTGGCCTGCTCGTTCGCTGCGCGACGATACGTATATCATGCCTGGCACGGTTTATCACGGTGATGAGGAAGGACAGAAGTCCATTTATCAGAGGCTCGTTCATAGAAATCTTTCCGAGAGCCGAACGATGACTCAAAGGGTACCCAAGATTATCAAAGATCGTTTCATCTTATCTTTTGAGTTTATGAATCATAGATCTTCAGGTAGATTCGAAGCCTCCCCCGGGTTCTGCGGTTCAAAGGCGCTAAAGCAACAAACAGTGTATCGAGATAAATGCAAAGTCAGAAGTTAATTAATTAATATAAACGCTTGTCACGATAGTGAGCGCAGCTTGAAAATACGTAGGAGGGATGCCTGAAAGGTGGAAAAAGTTTTCCCGCGATGTGGCTTCGTAACTACATGTATTCAGGATCGGATCGAGACTGCTTTAAGAGTATTGTCGGTATTCTCAAAAAATCACAGAATAATGTGGCTTACATTTTATCATATTATTTCTCAGCACAGAGAAATTCCTCTAAATAAATTCTCAGCGATACAAATTGTTGGCATTGTTTTCGTAATAGACGTCTATACACTTATTACTTTTTTTTTTATTCAAATATCAGGATAACTGATATGCGCATATGTTAATGTTATAGAGGTAGAGGCAAGATTAATTCTCTCAGCGTGCATTTTTACCATTCTCAGCGTACGGAGGGAATTGCCTCGTGTAGCGGGGGCCCGGCCCTGCGCGCGTACGCGTCGAGTCGCGACGCGAAGGTGAGCGCGCGGTTAATTTGCATAATCAATTCAAAACGATGAGTCTCGCGCCTCGAACGGATCGGTCATTCTTTTCCCCACGGCCGCCGGTATGGAAGAAAAGCCATTCCCGGCGTTATATAAATTACGGTCGTCTCACCCAAGAGAGGTGCGCTCTTACGATTATTGAGACGGCGTTGTAGTAGCGGGTAGCAGTAGCAACCGGAGCTCTTAAGCCCCGTCGTAGTAGCTTCGCTTCGATTTGGATCTCTGATTGCGCGGAGCCGACGTGCGCACGCCAAAAATAAAAAAGTGCGCGCGAATAACAGGGAGGAAGAGAGAGAGGGAGAGAGAGAGAGAGTGAGAGGGAAGAGGAGGAAAAACTGCGCGTTGCGCACATCGCGAGACATAAAAGCTTTTACGAGCGTTAAAAATCGCCGTGGCACGGCGCCGTTTCTTTACTTCCATTACGGCAATCCCGTCCTTTACCGTTATACCTCGTTGTAGTCGTAAACAGCGAATCCTGCGCAGTTTTAATTTCTCCTTTATCCTCTTAAAAGACAGCTTCTCCTTTTTTCGCGCGACTATCATTTCTTCGTCATCTTCGCTGTCGTGTTTTCCGCGTACGCAGCCTTTACGGCACTCACACGCTCGTTAATGAATCCGTGTTTTGCCAAATGCTCTCGCGGAAGACAGTTATTTTTTTTTCCGCGATGCGATTATGCCGAATAAAATTATGTATATTGTGCAAGTTGTTTTGAAGAATTTAATGATGCAAAAGATTGCGAAAGGAAGCGGAATGAGAAGACCGTGATGATTCAATCGCATCAATAATCCATGGCCTCAAAAAGCAAAAAATTAAACGGTGCAAATATCCGGGAACCCTCAATTATGTCGGCTACGAAATTATAAAATAAGATAAAATTGCGTCATCAGATTTTTTGTAATTTCCTACGAGTGGATTATATAACTTTTCAGCACCTTGTCTACTCCGACGAAATTTGAAAGAACATGTGAACCTTTACGAGTTGATTATATAAGTTAATATTCTGCCTACAAGATTTTACTGCGATGATGGAAGAACATGCATAGAAGAACACATATTTTATCTCAACATATAATTGTTATTTATTATTGTTACTGAAGCATTACTTCTATATTTTTTACGGGAATATTGTTAACGACCTATGTGTATATTTTCCCGTTTCAGATGTGAGCTACTGAAGGTGGGATCCTCAGGAACCGCGAGGTCCTCGCAATGGAGGCGGGACCAAAGCAGCAGCAACAGTCGCCGCAACAGCCCCAGCAGCAGCAGCAGCAGCAGCAGCAGCAGCAGTCGCAGCAGCCCGCTCAGCAGCAACAACAACAGAACTCACCTGGCAGCGCGGGTCAGCCGCAGGGACAGGCAGCCATCGGCCCGCAGGGTGGCCCGACGCAGGGCGGCCAAGGCCAGCAGAATGCGGAGGACGCGCTCGCGGCGACGGAGAACACCCCCGTTGACGAGGGTGTGCTCCTCGCCCGGATCCACGTGCCCGAGCTCTACGTCAGCAAGTGTCTGCAGTTCCCGAAGGATCAGCTGGTCTGGGACGTGAAGCAGCAGTGTCTGGCGTCCTTGCCCAAGGTACGAGCGACTCCTTCGGACAAGTATTTTCATCTATATCCCGAATATCCCGAGGGCGGCCTCGAAAATAGCCTGCGGCGCCGGGGATGTATCAATGCTCGTAATGACGATCGAACGATTCTCTCGCGGGCGAAAATTTATCTCCCGGCTGCTCGATAGCGCGAGACAGGACAGACAAGCGGACGGACGGACGGACGGACGGACAGGCGGGCTGCGCGGCGCAAGATGAGGGGGAGAAATTGAAAACGGAACGCATTATTCTCTTTCGCGGCAATAAATCCCGCGCGGCGTACTTCTCCCGCGCGTGTTATTTCTGGCCGGACGATCCTTATGTCGGAAATTTATGAAGCCCGTGGCGGATTCTCGTTTTGCCGTCTCCATCGGACGAGCGCGCACGAGAGGGAGAGAGAGAGAGAGAGAGAGAGAATGCGCGCGCGCTTGCTTGCATCGCGAGTCCTTTGCACGATAATTACACGTATTTCGTTGAGAAATTCTCCCGCGATCGAAAGCCCGGCCGGTCGGTAATATAATTCGTAGCCCCGATTTAGCGCGAGTCGGTGCGCGCGTAAGAGACGGGACGGGAATCAGAGGGAGAGAGAGAGAGAGAGACAGGGAGCGAGCGAGGGAGTGAGACGACGACGATGTGGCCTCTATTACCCTCGTTCCCCGTTCGCGTACGCCGAGCGGCCGCGTTTCGTTGAGAAATTCGCCCGCGATCTCTCGGAGGAGCGAGCGCGCGGTATAATATAATTCGTACCTGCGCCACCCGGGGCGATTTGTTCCCGCTGGAAATTGCGGTCGCGTGTATATTTCACCGAGGATCGCCAAGTATCGATTAATCGCCGATTACGGTCGAACCCCATCGGATCTGTCATTTATCACCGTGCATCCGCTTCTCTCTCTCTCTCGCGCGCGCGCGCGCGCGTACACCGCCCGGTCCCAAGGACTCCATCAGGCTTTTTTCGAAGGACGCTCCCTCCGCCCGTTCTCCGTCTTTCTCCCTTCCTCCCTCTTATCTTCTCTCTTTCTCTCTTTCTCTATCTCTCTATCTCCAGCTCTCCTTTCCTCTTCTCTTCTCTCCTCCCCTCCCGCCCGCCCGCCCTCTTCGTCATCGCGAAACCGCTCGCAGTTCCTCGGGCGGCAAAAAGTACAGTGCACAATGTTGCGCACCGAGAGCGGTGGCAGCAGCGCGCTTTACATGCCGATTTCGCGAGATTGCAGACAGCGCGAAATTAAGAGCCGCCAGAGCGAGTAATGACGAATTCTCGAGGCGAGGAGAGAGAGCGAGATTCCAGTCTCTTCTGCCGCTTTCGTGGCGAATCGTCCCACGGGACTGCCGAGAGTCATGATGAGTGCGTTGGATTCAAAGACGGTAATCGGATTGACGTTTCCCTCTCTTTTTCAATCGAGTAATATCGGAGGTTTTACTTTGCGGCAAAACATCGGTGCCCTCCAGGCGTTTTTCTTTCGTACAATACAATCGAGCGCTGTGTTTTCTGTCTTTTTCCCTTTGCTAATTAAAGCGTTAATTAAGATAAGAGCACAGGTTTTGTGAACTTTAGATAATCAATTCTAAAGTCGAGAGATTCATATTGCCTTTCAAGATTTCGAAAAGTGAGTTAAACCGTCGTTGCACCGAACTCTACAGCTGCAATTTCACTTGTTCGATGATAACTCGCTTTTATCCGACTTTATAGAAATCGCGTATGATTCGGTCAACGACACTATACGATCCGATACTCATCGCCTTTGAGTCCCACCGAGTACTCACTTTCGTCGTGCTCTCGTTCGACTCCCGCGAACTTTGATGACCGCACAAGAGCACATGTTAGACGCACTTTGTTGCCGAAGCGTGTCGAGGATGGACACGCGCACACACGCGAGTATCTTTATTAGGCAAAAAATAGAGACTAGAATATCGATATGTGTGGCTTTTCGCTTTTTGTGAAGCCGTCACGCTCTGTCTTCCGTCCTCTTTCTTTCTTTCTCTATCTTTCTTTTATTCTCTGTCACGCAAGAATTTTCACGCGTGTCGTCTTTCTGCCCCACATGCTTGCCTTTCGGGACACAGGAGGTATAGCACAGAAACCCCGATATATGCCCCGTTAAATCCTTCATCGCAGAAATGAAAAAAAAAAAACAAAAAAAAACGATCAGCTGCTTACCTGTATTTTCCTCGCTTCACTTTGTTTTCATTTCCCTCGCAGACCGAGTTTCCGAGTTTGCTATTCACCCCTTTAATTCTCTCACGTTCCACCAAATCGATTTATAGATTTCTTTGCAATATTTAAGCAGAAGTAGACGATCTTGGTGTCAGGTACGTGAAGGAGACTTAAAGTCATTTGAACGCGCGGTGCCAGTGTACGGTTCATCGATCGGATTATACACATGAGAATTATACGCGTCTTTGTTTGAAAGTGTGAGAGGAACGTATACTGGCATCGATTCAGTCCTGTCCTAAAACTCTCATCAAAGTTTGATTTTTGTCCAAAGTTTTACTTTTAGTTGTATTCATTATTTATCACAATATTTATGCCTTGCGCTCAGGATGAATTCGACGACTGCACGCTTACTTGAATAATTAAATGCGTTATCAGGTAATTTTGACGCGACACAATTATTTAATTTTAATTATTGTAATGAAAATCATGCGGTCGCGCGTCATCGAGCTCATCCCGGGACATCTTACGATATGTATATGCACTCGTATTATTCATACATTTATTATACATGTGTATAGATTTTTATATATGCGTATATATTTGCCTCGCGATGCGCGTGATGGTCGTGTATTTTCTGACCTGTGGTGTTGTTGTTGTTGTTGTTTTTGCTTTTGCCTCACCCTGCACGGGGGCGAAATACACTCCACACCCGCCACCAACCACCACCAACCGCCACACCTGTGCCACTATCGTCTCGTGTTGTGGGGCCTTGTCTACGAACGCGCGCACACCCCCCCTTCATACGAACGAACGAATGAATACCGCAAATACCGCGCGATAAAAAACGCGCCTTTCTCGGGTCCTCCACCACCCTCCACTTCCGGTTGTGTTACGGATAAACCACCAACACCGCTTCTCCACCCCTTTTGAGCGCCTCGCAGGTGGCCACTTGGTACAGGGTACGTCTTCACTATTACTAATAGCATGCGACCACGCCTTTCGTTCCTCGCCGGTCGTTCTACCTCCCCCTTTTGTATTTGTTATTTTGCGCCGATTTGCATGGCGAGAAGAGAGGATCCAGCTACGGCTCTTGAAAGCGAATGACTTTTTTTTTACACAACTTTTTCATTACCGCTGTCGCAGAGAAAGCTGCTGTAAAGTTTCCCAGCTTTGCAATGGAATTGTACACAATGTTAGAGCAAACGGATATAGTTAATAAAACTTTGATCAATTATTGGCTTTTTCTGAGACATTCGTATTGTATTTCTTTGCACAAATGGGATCATGTTTTTTTCTTACGTGACATCAATTTATCAACTTTTGGTAATAAATTTGCAGAGAAAGTAGCAGTAAGGCGCTGTCGCATTGCGCATTTGTTATACAATCTGGTCGTGGTAGTAGAGTTACGTAAAATGATTATTTTTATATATTTTACTAACAAGCCGTGATTACGTGGCGATAGGTAATCAGCAATTTTCCCGTCTGTTTCCCTCGCATCTGTCGTTTAATATGCATTGAATGTTGAGTAAGAAAATAAATGATTGATTTATAGTTAAAAAAGTAGGAAAGAGAGACATGTATATTGGAGATATATTGTCTTGTGTCATTCCTTATGTTCATGTGGATCTCTCGAAGCGAATACCTGTAATACAGAACGGGGAGACTAGCGGCATAGTTTAGGCTTCTCGTGTGGTACCTATATCTTTACAAAGTATCGACTAGGACGCATGTATAATGTACATAGTTTGTCGAGACACTTTAGCAACGTGATTGTTTTATCGGTTTCTGCATGATAATAGTTGTTAGCACGATTGTTGCTTCGATGCATTCAACACGATAAGTAGTTGTAAATTAAATGTTTGGATTTCGGGAAGACGCGAGAAAACTAAATTCCGAATTTGCAATAGACGGTGAATTAAATTCAGATGAAAACCATCATATACTTTCCACGATTTTACCTTTGCGGTTTATTGCAACTGTTTTCATTGCACGTGTTGAGATTTGCTTCCGTTCGTGTTTGAAAATGTCGGCGAAAGCAATCGTGGCAGATGAATGCATGCTCTATTTGTAATATAAATCGAGCGGTTAAACGGCAACCCACAATTTCTAATACGTATTTTCATTGCTCAGAGCAACGCTCGTTGAAACGCGCACTTTCCGCGCTTAAATGCGACATCGGAAATTCTGGGTTAGATGACACTTAGCCGCTCGATTTGCAAATCACGTTTGCAATTGTGGTTTACTCAAGTGTGACATTTCAGCAAGATTGCAAGCTTTTTTTTCCAGCGTGAAGGTACGTCATTGTATACTTATACATTGTATACTAATAATGTAAGGCGAAGAAGGAAGTACAATTTTTGTCGGACTCGCCGTAATGCGCCTTTTGGCACGCGCGGCGTTACGCCGTGTTTTGCATCATAATGCGTATTGATGTAATACGAAAGCCCGAAAGGATATCCGCGATTCTCGCCGGGCGAGTGTCCTCGATCGAGGTCGCGCGCCATGCTGTCGACCTCCTCCGGCGAAACCGTCCCGGCCATCGCGGTACCGCGCAACTCGCTAATGTTGCTGCTGTGTCTCTCTGACGTTGCTGCACACGGTGACTTTCGTTTTCGCCGGGAGGTTAACGAAACCGTTGAACCCACATCGATTCCCGCGTTACGTTCCTGCGGACGGGATGCGGTAGTCTGACCATCGTTCTGCAGACAAGAACGCCTTTTCAGAGAGAGAATAACTCTGAGGAAATTTACGAGATAAAATCTTTTTATGCGATTTCTAATTCTTTTTTTATTTTTACCAAGTATTTCAACAAGCGAAAAATATGTATAAGGAAGATATGAAATTTTCTTTTTCCTGGAAATTCACGTTTCTTGTAAAAATTTTTACGTGGAATATACTTCAATATCGTGGAGCCTTTTTCTCTTCTGAGATGAAAGCATTTTTCGAAATCTTTGAAGTTTTAGAATTTTTTCCAAACTTTCTGAATCATACATTCTGCGAGAAAATTGCATAGTTCTTTGTTCCTGTTGCCGAGATTAGTAAAGGCGGCATTCCACAAGTCCTGCACTTCTGACTTATACTGGAACAGTTTCGTTTTTCGAAATTGTTTCCGTCGTTCGTTTTGTGACCGGCGAGAGTATCGATCTGCCGAAGCGGCGCGCCGCGTGCTTCTCGGCCGAGAAATTCGCTACCCTTTTTGTTATCTTCCTGCCAGACGCTCTAAATACACCGTGCGCTGCTAACGACGCCGGCTCGTTACTCCTTTCGTGTATATCGCTTTCGATCACCTTGGCCTAAGGGGCCCATTCTCGCGTTAAAATTGCTCTACCTCCTCCTTCCTTTACTCGCGTTCCGTAGATACTCTCTTACCTTCACCGATCGGGAATCGGATACGGAACCCTTAGCGCGACTCGCCCAAAATTGTCTAAAACGAGCAGTAGGAACGGAAATAACTAGGTTTCACAACGATGAATGGAGGGGTATGGCTTATAATCTACGCTTTCGACGATAATCTAATGATAATTTGGAAATAATTTTAAAAGATTTTTCTTTATTTGGTCAATTGAAACTCTCATCGCACATAATTACCGTTCTACATAAAATTTAAATTATTTTCTTTTGCATTTACATTTACAAATCATTTCTTTCGTGATCTAACGATGCAAACGTTAGCGATAATTTCTATTTCAATATAACATAATGCTGATGATTTATGTTAATTCGATCTTATGTACTCCCGCGCTATCAATGTACGTCGCGATAAAATCTTGTTATTAGGCGACGATAGTTAGCTCCTGGAAGCAATTGCTTCGAGATTGCGGCGCGGTCGCTTGGTGCTTATCGCGGCAAATGTGCATGATCCACCGATATCACTGTACCGGAACAGACCGAATATTACCGGCGCGGCGATAGTATATCGTTGCATATCCGGCAGAAGAATCTCGGCGCGGATAAATTCAGTCCGGCCAGCGCCAGAGGATCCGTGGCAGGATCGAGAAGGCAGGACTTCGTAGGCGTAGACGATCACTGTGATCCACGATTGTGTGAACCAGGATCATCCTTTACTTCCGATAGGATCGCGTCCCCCTTTTCTCTTTCTCTGTCTCCCTCACGGCGGCTCCGGGCTATCTGCGCGTCGTCACTTTGTAACGCATATTTTTCTCGCGCCTGCACCGTGTAATAAAGCCTCCTTTATGTTTATCGGAAGATAATTCATATTGGGGAACGTTCCTAAATTGTAATATACGCGAAATAAAAATTGCTCGAAATATTCCGAAGGAGAATTCTCGTGTAGATTGCTAGACAAGAGTTTTAACATTCAAAATTTTGCGTTTATTCTTCAACAATAATTATCAAATGATATCTAATTGTTGATATATAAGATGACAGTTCAATTTGTTTTTATTTATTGCTTTTTTGACAAAGTTTAAATGTTTTTTAACAAAAATTGAATTGAATTTATATTATTCTTGCGTGTTTTAAAACATTGCGAACTACAAACTTTAACAGCAGAGTTTTTTTACATACACGTGTTCTTTGCTCAATAAGTAATGTGGAATGTTGTAATAAGTGGCAATTGCGCAATTAAATCGATTTCCAGCGGCGGATATAGTCGCCCTCGCTTTATTGAACAATTCCGCAAACAAGTTTACATCGCAATGTGTAGGTGGATTACGTTAACCGCATATCTGCATTACGTTCCCGCGAATGAAAGGACATTACGCGAAAACGAATGATCTCGCATTCGGAAGATGCCGATGCGCATAGAACTAGAAGAACGAAGGATTTTGCCGTCAAGATCGACAAATCTTATGCCGCCCCGCCGTCGACACGGAACAAATGCACGCGAGTCGTCGAACGAGTACTACGTCGCTCTATTTATATCGATCGTACGCCGTGAACTGGTCCGAGAATAGATCGAATGGAGATCGATGGCCAGGTTTCCGTAGCGTGCAGTAGAAGGACGACCTCGCCGGAACCGGACGAGCGGAGCGTTTTCGCAAGGATGACTGAATGGAGATCGATGGCTGCGTTTTTGCATAATGCGAGACGCAAAATCGCGATCGACGCGGCTGTTCACGAAAATGACCAAATGGAGATCGATGACCGTGTTTTTACAAACAATGAATTCGCGCATTGTCGAAAACTGTTTTGCCCAAAATTCAAGTAATTTTATTGGACGGATATTTTTTTAGTTGTTTCACCGTAAAATATTAATAAATAAAATACAATATAATAATCAGAATAAACATGCGGAAAATATCGATGCGAAAGAAGTATAATGATATGAGAGAGAAACGTGTTACTGAAAAAAAAAAAATCGACAACTGCAAAAAGTGCGAAGTGAATGAGAGACCAGAGAAAGAAAGAGAATTAAGGGAGCTGTTGCTGTAATAGTGTGCGGGAAAGAAATGCAATTTTCGGTTGGACGACGGGACGAGTCCGAGCCAATTACGCAGCTGGAGATCGAGCGATCGCCCTGAGTCTTCCTCGCGGGGAAACCGAATGTGTGGACACGCGAGAGCGGGAGCGTTCGCGGACATACGTGGACTTCCTCGAAAATTGCCGGCCGCATTTCGCCCTTCGGCCATTGTCGCTGGATAACTCGGTCGTGTGGAATTCGAAGTGTTGTCGCTTATTTCGCGAAACTGCCGGCGTTCCTGGCGGGCAAGCTCTCTCTTCCGAAGATATGCGATTCGTGCGCTGGATCGGATGGAGCGCGATCGCGCCAGCGGCGGATCGTCCTCATCCCTTAAACATTTTTGCCGCTCATTCAATTTAGAGACGAGTATTTACCCTCGCTGCTAGAATAGCGCCCACAGCGACTTTGCTTAAAGAGGAAAGAAACAGCGCGGGATTATTAAATATTTATTAAGTATACATTTCTCGCGCTCGTTGCTTGACGACAATCTTCCTGCGAGATTGCGAAGCAATTTTAGAATTCTCATTTTAATTAACA